CATATTCATATGCTAGTATAGGCACTAAAAAAAGTTGGAAGGACACTTAACATTACTTACTCTGGAAGGTGGATTAGGGTTGAAGGTGGCAAGAAGGGAGACCTTTCATTTTACACTCTTCTGTACTGTTCAAATTTTTCCACATATATTTATCACTTACATCGTTACAACTGGTTTATTGTTTTAAAAAGTAATAAAATAAATACCAAGAATGTTAAACTTACATGAAATTCAAAAAATCTCTCCAATCATTAACATTCATATTAGACCAAGATACTAGTTGTTTCAACCTTCCAGTCTGGCAGACTAACCTATGATACAAATATCTATTTCACAACAGACTAAAAGTATTTTCCAATCCTCACTGAAAATGTTTTACTTCTGGCAGTTCTTTAACTCTTTCCTATGCCTCTAATCTAGGAGCTCTGGTGGTGCAATGGTTAAAGCACTCAGCTGCTAACCAAAAGGTTGGTGGTTCTAACACACCAGCTGCTCCACGGGAGAAAGATGTAGCAGTCTGCTTCCATAAAGATTACAGCCTTGGAAACGCTATAGCGCAGTTCTACTCTGTGCTATAGGGTTGCTATGAGACAGGATCAACTGGAGGGCAATGGGGTTATGTCTCTAATCATTTAATCTTTCTCATATTTAACCAAAATTACCTTAACAAAGGTTATCAATAACTTTCCCATAATCAGTGTATTAAGATTTCCATTTCATTTTATCCCACCATATCTGTCTTTGGGGCCCTGGTGGTGCAGTGGTTAAGAGCTACGGCTGCTTACCAAAAAAGGTCAGCAGTTCGAATCCACCAGCTGCTCCTTGGAAACCTATGGGGCAGTTCTACTCTGTCCTACAGGGTCGCTGTGAGTCAGAATTGACTTGACAGCAAGCAGTTTTGTTTTGTTTTTTTATCTGTCTCTGGAATTTAATATTTATAACTACCATCTCTAGTCTTGGCTTTAACTCTGTCAGAATCCTATTAAAATCCTACAAACACATGAAACTAAGAATTAATGGACAAAAGAGATGGAAGAAATCATACAGAAAATTTTCAAAACTTTTGACAACACAAACTATTTTAAACTTTGGTGTATAAAAATATAACACAAGTGTAAAGTTTTAAAAATTCAAAAGCAAAAAACCCAAATAAATCACTTACAACAAATAAGAAATCGTTAATACAAAAAAAAAGTTCAGTCAAATCAAATAATACTAGGATTTCAACAGAAGGTCAAAATCAAAGACAGACTATTCATTAAAGATGAAATACAGAAGATTAAAAACTGAAAAATTTCATCCTCAACAATAACAAAGTAAATACATTAGCCAAACTTGTTTATAATAATAAAACACACAATGAAACCGATCCTCTCTCATACCTGCTGGTGAAATTATAGTTTAGTATAACCTCTATGCCAAGTAATTTTATAACTACACTGGGAGTCATAAAAATGTTCATATCCTTTGATTCAATATTACCACCTGTCGAAATTTAACCAAAGGAAAAGATCAGAAATTCATACTAAAATCTCTGCCTAACGATACTGACTGCAGCTTTACTATAATAGGGGGGAAAAAACTGGAGATAGCCTAAATGTTGACTAATAGGGGAATAATTAAGCAAATCATACTATACTTCAGTAGAATAAAACTCAACCATTATGGCTGCTTAGGAATAACAGGAATTTTAATGACTTCGAAAATACTTATAAGTAAAAGCAGGAGGCAACCAAATTGTATATAATATACTCTAAACTATATTTAGGGAAAAAAGGAGAAATTATACTAACGTTAAGCAACGTTGCATTTTTATGCTTTATTACACTTTCCAAAAATAATTTTTTTATACTGAACATGTACTACTTTTCCAATCAGAAAAAGTTAAAACTTAGGTGCCAGGATTTAGGATTTGTTGACTCAAGATACTTATCTCTGCTTTCTAAATAAAATTTACTAACAAAAATTAGTGGATTGAGGTAGCTTGCTAATTAAAAACTGTTTTAATACTGGAAATGTAATAAAAGGGTAAGGTGGAATGGCTTTCCTTTTATATATGCTAATCCATATCTGTGACTAAGAACATGACATATCCAAAACTGAATCTAATCAAACTACCTGACGACACAGATGTGTGAATTATACAAACCATGCTACTAACATTTAAAATACAAAGAAGCCCATTTTATAGTAAAAAGTCTAAGACAACAGATTTCAAACCAAATCTAACTACCTATTTTCATTTCTAATTTACCTGTAATACAGGAAAGGACTAGCCACAAGAATAAATATCCTAATTCCAATCAATGGGCAATCATGCCAAGTAAAGGCTGAGGTAAAAAAGCAATCCATAAACTCAAGCCATCTCAGTACTAATTCAAGTACTGCTCTGCATTAACTTTACATGAATGTTTGATTACCTTACTACACCAAAAAACTATAAGGTCCTGGAAGGATAGTATGTCATACAATTTTTTTTTTTTTAATTTCTCCCTCAGTGCTAGGTGAAAAAAAAAAACACCAAAAAACCAAACCTGTTGCTGTCAAGTTGATTCCCACTATAGCAACCCTATAGGACACAGAAGAAGTGCCCCACAGGGTTTCCAAGGAGTGGCTGGTAGATTCGAACTGCTGACCTTTTGGTTAACAGCCAAGCTCTTAACCACTATGCCACCAGGGCACAGGTGAAAAACAAGGGCTTAAAAAATATTTGAATAAGGGAGTAGGTTAAGTAAGTGATAAGTAAACAAAGAAAAGAGCAAAAGGAAAGTGAACCTACCTCTAGTTCTAGCAAGAAAATAAGAAAGGTACTTACGAAAAAAAGGGAGCCAAACTGCTCCATAGAGTTTTCAAGGCTGTGACCTTTTCAGAAGCAGATCGTCAGGGCTTTCTTTCACAGCACCACTGGGTGGGTCTGAACCACCAACCTTTAGGTTAGTAGCAGAGTGCAAACTGCTTGTGCCACCGCGACATCCAGTTAAATTTCAATTTCAAGTAAACAACAAATAACTTTTTAGTGTCCGTACGTCCAAATACTGCACGGGACATACTTTGTTAAGCCTGTCAGCCCCAGCTACATACCACTGTGTAATTCACAACCTCAGTTTCCTGTTTTCACATCTGTAAAATGCAGGAGTCAGACTAAATCAGTTCTATGATTTTTTTCTCAGTTCTAAAATCCTCTAGAATTCTGGTATTTTATAAAGAATTTCAACATATTCTCAGGATAATGTTCAGACACACTAACAGCTTCTAAAAGTCCTTAACTGAATCTTTCTAGTCCCTGAAAATAGGCATTTTTCAAAGTCTTACCCTGGTCTCTTATTTTATACCACTCTATATGCCCATGAGTTTTTTATTTCACGTATATGTGTATGATTCCTAGATTCTTTCCCTCTCCAGCCAATCATGAAATTCATGGAAAGAATCAAACTGTGTGATTCCAAATTAACAGAGGTAACAAAGAATACTGTCTTTAAACCCAAAAAAAAAAAAAAAAAAAAGGCTTTTAGTGAGTGCACTTTTTAGTGGAGCACTCTGCTACTAACCTAAAGGTTGGTGGTTCAAACCCACCCAGTGGTGCTGTGAAAGAAAGCCCTGATGATCTGCTTCTGAAAAGGTCACAGCCTTTAGATAAACTACACAAATATGAAACAATTAGAGAACCAGATGGAATATTAACCATGCAGACTGCTTTGCATACTTTGCTTAACTGGAGTCAGAGATGTCAAAATCTACATATTGCCCAAATGTTAAGCCAACCCTAATGATACTAGGAAATAAGAACCTGAGACCACTAGTAAGCGGAGACTGGAAATAGTCTACACCCAGGGCGCCTAGAGTGAAGCCTGGACAATTATATATGCACACAGCCTTAGACGTTCTCTAATCTCTCCCATATTTATCCAGTCAATACAACTGGATTTCTCATTTGGTTTCCTGGGAGCAATGCCTTGACCTGAACCACAGCACATTCGACTGGGGGTTCATCACTGAGCCCAGATTTTGCCAGCTCCCTCCCACTGAAAACTACAATAATCCACAGCTTCATATGGAGTCTTTAATAAAAGCGATTTACCACATTCACAACCCCAAACCACAATGCTTATATCTACTACTACCAATGAAGTGTATAAAATCTCTTCCTTTAGTGTTCCACTCATTTGTTGGTATTTTCTTTTTAACATATTAATAATCATTCAAGTCGAAGTTTGTCATTACCTTCTGAACACTTATTTTGGATTTCTGGCTATCCTGAACAGGGCCAGCCTGACAGATTTGATTCCATTCAACTGCATTTCCTCTTCTTCTGACCCAGCCCCACATTAAGTGCAACAGGTACAATAATAATACAACCAGTAAGTGCTTCCTATTTCCCTAATCATTAAGGTAAAAGCACTATCCTACCTATATTTCGTTTTTAAAGCTTTCACATTACCTTTAAAACCTGCCAATCACCAAGAGTAGATTCTTTCTCTGCAAAACTACTATCATAATTCATGCTTCCTTCAGCAGTATCTTTGGCCTATCTTTGTCGCTTCATATTTGGGTTATGGCAGCATATTTTCCCTTCCATCTCCTAGACCCCCATAGACATGCATTATTTACAATTATTATCATACTTAACAGTAATTTCCTTACAAAGTAATATGACATCAGTAACAAAATCTACCAAAACATTTCCTGCAGTACATTCATTTAAAACGGTTGATATATTCAGCTTTTTAAACTGTAAAAAAGCAACAAATTTTGAGCAAATATAGCTACCCAATTCTTCTTCCAGCTTTTGTGTTAAATAAAACTTGGAAAAATAATGAAATCAATAAAATAAAACAAACGTATTGTTAAAACTGTATATCTTATCTCTTACATCAATTTTAAGAAACAGAATATAACTCCTATCTAATTAATAACTGTAGTTCTAAAAATATAGTTCAGTTCTTTGAATCCTCCAGACTTTAATATTCATTTATCAGTTTAAAAAACAAATGACAAAATACCCAGATAAGGAAGACTTTGTGTCCGGCAGATGTTCTTTTTTTGGAGGGTCATCTCTCAAGCTTTCATCCTGTGACTTTTCTCTCACATCTCCTGGAATGTGTCCGTAGTCAACACTGCTACTGGTTTCTAATGAAGCCTTTTGATTTGAGTGTTTCTTGTCTCCTTCTCTCCTGTCAGATCGACTCCATGATGATAAACATTCTTCACTGTTCTCTGTGGGTTTTCGAAAACCACAACGCAAAGAACCCTGAGCTATCGATGCTGAAGATGAACTAGATGGTTCAAAGTTTCTGCCCTTGCTATGAAATGACAGTTCTTCATCATCAGAGGGTCTTACGAATTTAGGTCTCAAATTTCCAACAGAAGAAAACTCCTGATTTTGCCTTGGATTGTACTGTCTTCTGTGCGTTTCTAAAGACCTGAATCTATTATTATCCTTTTCATCACCACTAAACTTATCTTTATTAACATTGTTTGTACTATCTGTTACACTATATCTATCCCTTGAATTTTTATTATAATTTACTAAGTCTGATTTTCTACGTTCTTGACTACTTTGTGCTTTATCTGAATACGTTGGTTTCCTCCACCGTTCTTGTCTACAATCTTCTTTTTTGGATGCAGTCTTTTCAGCTTCTTTTAATTTCAACTGAAATATTTCCATTGACTACAAAAGAGAAAAATTAAACAAAATATCTAAAATTAAAAACAGCTCCAGTGACTTTCCCCCCAAATGCCATTGTGCAATGACCCACTGCTATCTGTCACAATACAAGTAAAGTCCACCAAGGAAAATTAAAAAAAAAAGACCCATACAATCCTTCTACCCCAGAATTGATATTTAAAAAACTACGAGTGAACAACAAGAAATTACTAAATAACAAAAAATATCTAGGACCTCAAAAGGGGAATTATACACTGAATGCCCTACGCTAAACCAAAGAATTATACAGTAAACAGCAGAGACATAATTTTTTTAAATAATTAATTCCTACTGTGAGATTCAAGAAGTTACCATACTGCTAAAATATAAGACTCACATGAAAAAAGGAGCAGTTCAAGCACAAGAAAGGCGTGTAAATGAAAACTGTATGCCTAAAAAATTGCCCAGATACACAAATAGAAGAATGGAAAGTGCTGAAAACTAAACTAGAGAGTTCAACACTAGCCTGTGAATTCTCTATCCTTTAGAAAATAGATGCAGGTTATAAGAAAAAAAGACACATGGACAATTGATTCTAGAGGATCTAATAAGCATGTATTAGTACTTCCAAAAAGGAGGAGCAAAGATGATGGAAGAAAACCATTAATAAAAAAAAAATTAAAAAAAATTTCCCCCAGTTGAGTTTCCAGATCAGATGGGGTTCCCCCGATAGCCCTGGAACCTTGGGGGGATGGGTGTGAAGGTAAGGCAGGACGGGGGAACGCAGAGAAAGATATATATATATAAATACCCTAATTCCTGAATCTCAAAAATCAAGGAAAAAAAGAAATCCTTCACCAAAACTGATCAGGGAAAGGAGTGGATAAGTGTGAATGTGTGTATATATATGCAGGTAAATAGATAACACATTATCTCCAAAGAAAAGAAAATAAACTTGCTATCAATTTTTCATCTATAATGCCAGAAGATTATGGAACAAAGATAAAATTTTGGAAAATATTATAAGTCTATAATTCTATATATAGAATTCAATTCACAGCCAAACTACCCTGCTCTGATGTGGGCAATAAAAAGTCATTTTAAAAAACACAAGAAATCAGAAAGCATATCATTTATTAATTCTGGAGAAAAAATTACTCAAGATGATTAAGCCAAACCAAAAATGAATCAAGATAAAGATCTCTGAAAAAAGGAAGACATGCCATAGACCAAATGGCAAACATAATAGTTAAGTCTGAATAACTGTTCTTGTAGTTGTGAAATTTAACGTAATCATCAAGGAAAAGATGCACTGTATTTTTTTTTTTTAAATTTATAATAAACTGAAACTAAAATTCCAAATTATTTTAATAAAATCTGAGAGGTGGGATGGGGGGATCAAAACATGTTAAAGTTCTTATCTTGTAACAAACAGAGAAATTACATACTATTTCATATTTTACATCATTTGAAAAATACAGATTTACATGTGTGTCTTAACTTTAATGATAACATGAAGTAGATTTCAAGAAAAGACATTAATGGAGAAAAAAAAAGGAGAGAGAGAGAGAGTTTCTATACTGATAAATGAAATGATTCACCAGGAAGCTATAAGAGCCATGAATGTTTATACACCAAAAAACATTGTTTTGTTTTGTTTTTGGTACACCTTAATACTATTAGAAAGATGGGGGGGGATACAAAAATACATATGTTGTTGATAACTTTGAAGAATTCCAAAGGTTTGTTATGTATGTTTGCAAATGGACAGACATACACTGCTGTCTTGGAATTAAAGGGAGGAGCAACTGTAATATCACATGCTTAAACTGACCAAAGAATAAGCATCTGACCCAAGACAATAAATGTTGAAGTCATCTGAGTCAGTGACAGCAAGTATGTAACCTCACCATCAGAGTAAAAGCCTCTGAACCCTTTCTTGACTACATTCCAGGAGTTGGTTGCCAAACTCATTCAGAGAATGAAATTCAAGTTATATGACAGGCAACTGACAGTCTAATTTGGGGACTATCACTAATGACATATATAGTAAGTGTCCTCTTGTAAGGGACAGGTGGTTGAAACTGTTATTTTTACTTTTGGCAAACTCTTAAGAGGAACTGTGATCCTACATGGTAAGGAAGAAAGGTAAATGGTCATATATTAAGGTTCAAATCTAATCGATTGCAAGTCGGAAAACATAAGGCAAAAAAAGATTCAATTCACAATTTACAAATATAATAATTTAAAATAACCTCAAATGACAAATGCACAATAACTGCAGAAAAAATTACTGAAGAACTATTGAAAAGAAACAGCCAGTGTTTTAGGATGGGATGATTCAACATTATAAAGATATTAATTATCTTGCACTTATCTATAAATTTGTTGTTGCTAGCTGCCGTCAAGTCAATTATGACTCACGGCAACCCCATATACGCACAGTAGAACTGCTTCATAGGTTTTCAAGGCTCTGACCTTTAGGAAGCAAGCTGCCAGGCCCATCTTCCAAAGTCCCTCTAGGTGGGTTCAAACGGCCAGATTTCAGCTAATAGTCAAGTGTTTAACAGTTTGTGCCACCCAGGATCCTATTTAGTCAAATTTAAATCAAAATTCCAAAATAAGTTGTAAGTTTATATTGGAATTTTAGGAAAATGTTTTTTTTGTTGAGCTTGAACTTGACAAAATGATTCTAAATTTAATAAGAAAAACATAAGAATAAAAAGCTAATCTTTTTAATAAGTAATGAAAGTAATGAGATACGACTTCCATTGCCACATAGAAGGCAATCACTAATTACTTGCTATCTGCATGAGTTACTGAAAATTATATTAATTATAACAGTATGATACTAGTCCTGGAAAAGATAATGCAATGGAATAAATTCAAAAGTAAAGGAACAGATCCAAATAAGGAAATTTACTATCTAATAAACATGCCAAAATTATTGTGAAAAGAATAATTCATCCAGCATATCATAAACAACTAGGCAAAGATTTGAGGAAAGCTGGATCTCTGCTTTATACCATACACAAATATATATTCCAGATAGATTAAAAATAAACATAAATAAATAAATAAAGCTGAATAAGTACTCAAAATAAATGCAGGTGCACATTTTTTTATGACACTAGGATGGGAAAGACCTGACAACAAATTACACCAAGAGTATTAAGTATTGGAAGAAAATTCTGATGGGTTTTGCTAGGTAAAAAATATTTAAAACTTATCTAAACAAAATATAAACAAAGTTTAAAAAAAGAACATGAAACTAAGGGGAAAAGCTGAATAGATTTATTACAAATGTCTTAAGCAAATCAGTAAGGAGCCCTGGTGGCATAACAGTTAAACGCTCAGCTGATAACCAAAACGTTGGTGGTTCAAACTGACCCAGTGGCTTCAAGGGAGAAAGACCTGGCAATCTGCTCCCATAAAAATTAAACCAAAACCACTGCTGTCAAGTTGATTCTGACTCACAGTGACCCTATGGACAGAGTAGAACTGCCCACAGGGTTTCCAATGAGTGGCTGGTGGATTTGAACTGCCAACCCTCTGGTTACCAGCCTGAGCTCTTAATCACTGCACCACCAGGGCCCCTCGCATAAAGATTACAGCCTAGAAAATCCTATGGGGCAGTTCTACTCTGTCACATGGGGTCACTATGAGTTGAAATTAACTCGACAGCACCTAACAACAACTAAGAAGCAAATCAATATCTGCTCCCCACCAAAAAAAAAAGCAAACAATACAATTCACTAAAAAATACGGGTGACCAAAGGTATGAAATAAATATTCAATTCACTAGTAGTCAAATGAATAAAAATAAAAGCAAAAAAAAAAAACTTTTTTTACCAATCACAATAGCACAGACTATGAAGACTGATAATCGCACTGTTGACAGTTATATGATGAAAGAGACATTTTTTAATGAGTATAACTGATACAATTTTCTGTAGAAAAATTTAGCAACATACATCTCACATTAAATGTCCACATCCTTTAAACCAGAAATTTCATTTTTACTAATTCTTCTCAAAAAAATAATCAGATAAGTATGCAAAATGCATTAGACAACGATGTTCAGCAGACTGCTATTTAACTGGGGGGAGGGGACACATAAATGTCCATCCATTGATGATAAAACAAATAAATAATGGTACAGTCATACAAATACATAGGAAAATATTAAGAAGTCACTAAATGTATATTATACTTACTGGCATCAAACTATATATTAGTAAGTAAAAGAAGCAAGATATATTCTATGAGCCTATTTTTATAAAAATGTGTAGTTTAAATGTACATAATAAATTTTTTAAAATCCAGAAAAATATATACCTAAATGTTGGCAGAGACTCTCTTAGAACTAAGCATGATTTTATTTTTAACCCTCCTCCCCCACCTCTTTTTTTTTTGCTTTTCTATATTTTCAAAATCTTACTACTTCTAAACCTGCTTCCCTCTGGAAATTAAAAAAAAAAAAAATCAATACATACAGAAATAGAAAAATTATCCACACATGGTGAATACAGAAGCTAATTCTAAAACAGCATGTACAGCATGGTTCCATTGTTTTAGGAGTGTACACACACCAACACTCTCACAGGAAAACAACTCTGGAATATGCCAGAATGTCAACAGTGGTTATCTCCAGAGGTGTACTATGGAGATTTTCCTGTATTACTTAAATTTTTCACAATGAGAAAATGTCATTTTAACATACTTAAATTTTATTAGGTACTTCTAGGTTTTATATACTTAAGTTTCATTATATCAAAAAAAAAGTTATATAAGTTTATATAATAATGAAAAGCAGAAAATGACTTCAGTAGTATTTGAAATTTAGTATAAATTCAATTCAAAAGTGTTTCATGGCACAAAACACTGACAACCGCACTGATTTTTTATATGTCTCTAAAAATAATACATATATCCTTAATACAGATACTTACCCCATATCTTTCAGCTACAATGTCTTCAAAATTTCTATTTTGTTTCTCAGCTTGTTCCTTCATTCTTTGATAAGACTTCGTTAGCCAGCTTAATCCACCATCTTCTACTACTGAAACTAAATTCCAATATTAAATGTCAGTTATATTTTTCATGTTGTTATCAAAGAATTAATATTTACTGCTTCTATGATGACTTCCAAACTAGAAACTTAAATATTTTCCTGGAATAAATAAAAATAAGTGCACTGCAAATTCAATTCAGCATATATTGAGTGCCTATACATATCAGGTGGAAACTCCGGTGGCATAGTGGTTAACAGCTACGGCTGCTAACCAAAAGGTTGGCAGTTCGAATCCACCAAGCACTCCTTGGAAACTCAAAGTTCTACTCTGTCCTATACGGTCACTATGAGTCAGAATCGACTCGACAGCAAAGGGTTTGGTTTTGGTTTGGTTTGTATGTCAGGTACAGAGTTTTGCCACTATGGGGAAGGAAAAGATGAAGACAACTATCCTCAGGAAAATTCCAACCAAAGAGAATGAAGTATAAACAATTAAAATAAGGATAATGTGTGAAAAGTATTATAAAAAGATTTAAAGGCTTATAGAAAATCAGAGAAGTAAAGGATTATTTCTAACTGGAAGTCTGGGAGAAATTCAACAAACCAGGCTCAAAAAAAGAGAGTTGGGTTTCTATCAGCAAAGATAAGAGTAGGGAGAGAATTCCTAAAAATAAGGAATAAAATTATATACAATGGATGTGGGGGGAGCTACCTTAAATGCAGCACAAAGAACAAATAAGAGAGTTAGAGAAGACAAAGATGAAATGTATGGTAAAACAAATTATCTTACTTCAGTCTTGATTACCAACTATGAATATCTGAATGCCCATGATGGCAACAAACTTTATCAAGCTGCTTACATTTTCTTTTACACACATCACATTTTTGATATATATAAAGAGGACATCTAATCAATTACTTAAAACTCCTGCTTTTCCTTGACAATACAGGACTGCTTTAAGTTTAATATCTCCCCAGCTCTTAAACCAATAGAAATGCACACACGGAGACCCTAAAAGACATAAAAAATGTTCATAGCAGATAATATGTAATAACCCTCAGCTCGTAACAACCCAAATGTCAATCATCAGTAGAATGAATACATAGATTTGATATATTTCTAAAACAGATTCCTAAAATAGACTACTATACGAAATGAAGATGAAAAAACTACAACTGACACACAACATGGAGAAATCTCAAAATGTGGACAAAAGATGGAAACAAAAAAGGACATACTATATGATTCCAGGCAAAACTGAATTTTGAAGCGAGAAACCAGAATGGTTACGCTTTTGGCAAGAGGGCAGTGACTAGAAGCGGCTGTAAAGGGAGCTCCTGGGATACTGACAATGTTGTTTCTCAACTGATTATACAAACGTTTTCACTTTGTGAAAATGATCAGTTTGTACACTTATGACTTGTGTACTTCTCTGTGTGTCAGACTTCAATTTAAAAAAAAAAAGGTTAAAGAAGATTTTTCAGTCTTCAAATTCACTTTATTCAAATTCATTTCCTCTCAATCAAATCTCAAAAGTTTCTCTCTATTAAGCAACTGTTAAGATAATGTGACCCTTCTTTACATGTCTAAAATACTTTGTACTTTGAAATCTAGATCTGTAGTTAACACAGTGACTCACCTTCATTCGAAACCTTATTTGGATCTTGCTCTAGTTAGTCTAAATCTACAGTGACAAGTAAAAGAAACTCATAACAATTGATACCTATGTTAATGTCCCTGCTGTAGGACTAAACCGTTCATTCCAAAGAATTAGCTGTGAAATTGATAAAACGCTGATGTGCATAGTGAAAATTTCCTCAACAAGCTATAGTCACCAATATATTTATATAGCTCAGAGGAAAAGTAAGACTGCTTTTACTCCTCTGTGTTGACATTTATCAAGGAAATCTAACAGGAATAAATATTTTCAAGTCAGTTCAGTCACATATTAAATATAAAATTTCATATATATTTATATAATGTCACCTTTAGTGATTATATATTCTATTTTAAGTCTTATTAATCTTATAATTAAAGATGGCAATAATCATTTTAAATCACATAAATTATATCAACGATCTTATTTTAATAAGAGAAACAACCACATTTAATACCTAAAAAGCAAATAAAAAATTACCAATTTGCAGCACCATTTATCATAAAATCCAATCCAACAAATATTTAGTGAATTATCTACTACGAATATGAAAATTTGTTTAACAAAGTAAGAGGTAAAAACATGAATAAGGCATGGTCCCAGGCCTCTATGCTGTTAAGATATAAGAAAATAATTATAGTAAATTCACTGGTTTGCAGTACTTAGTATATACCTGCATCTCAAATCTGTTTTGTGTGTTAGAAATTAAGAGACTAAATGTATGGTTCCATTTTAATGAAAAGGTATACTGTTATAGACAAATATAGCCAAATGAGTCTGGTCTACATTTCTCTTTCTTTCAGAAGACAGGATAATATAAAAATAACAATAAACTAAATATCATGAGATAGATTTCAGTTCTGCTACTCTGAAATAGCTAGTTTTAAGACCTTAAGCAAGACATTAACTTCTTTGCACCTTTGTTTCTTCTCTGTAAAAGAAGGCACTTAAACTACCTTTGAGATTCCTTCCAACTCAAAGATTCTAAAGGACAAAGTCAAAAAGATAAAAAATCAATAAGAAGAACAAAAATACACTGAATGAGTTTGTAAACAGGAATTTCTACTAACACTGTGGTAAAAAAAAAAAAAAACATACATACATACATATATATATATACATACATAGTCTTCTACTAAAAAATCTAGAGTAACTAACCCTTGACAAGAAATCAGAAGACTTGGGTTCTAGTACTACTCACAGGACTATAGGCGAATTACCTGGTCATTTAAGCCTTAACTAGTTTCCTGAGCTATAAAATTAGAACAATAACATCTACTCTGCTATCCTCACATGGTGGCTATGAAAATAAACTGATACAAAAGTGGCATGTAAACTCTAAAACTGTACAAATACCCCCATTACTAAAATATGATTAAATTTTGTATGAGCTCTGATAAAGGTTTACGTACTGTGCCATCTAATTTTCTCTCAGATAAAAAAAAAAAAAAGAGTAGTGAATTCATTATTGAAAATACAGCACTGCAACAATTACAAGGTGTCCCCGGGTCGTGCAAACGGTTAAGTGCTTGACTACCAGCCAAAAGGTTGAAAGTTTGAACCCACCCAGAGACGCCTCAAAAGCCAGCCCTGGCAATCTGCTCACAAAAGGTCACAGCCTTAAAAACCCCATGGAGCAGTTCTACTCTGCACACATGGGGTCGCCATGAGTCAGAATCAACTTGATGGCAACTAACAACAATTACAAAAACTCTTATTGATTAAAAACTTGCCAAAACATTTAATCATAAGGACAAGTATTTGACATCATCATCATTACTTATTTACTATATTCAGGTACTATGCTAAAAGCATTATCTCATTTAACCCTCACAATAACTATATGAGATAGGTATTCTCATTATTCCCATATCACAGATGAATAAACTGGGCTCAGGAAACTTTCCCAAATTATGACACTAATAAGTAATTACTGCTTGCCCAATTTTTTTTTTAAGTTTTTAACCACAGTATTTCAAAGAGACCCCTCTGATTATCTGGTGAAATGAGTTCCTTTGTGTGGCCTTTTGTCTTGCTTCTGTGAAACGGAGAGGAGGAAGACAGCTTGTGAGATTCTTCCCCTAAACCCTGAGGAGTTGTTACAGTTGCCCTTGTTACACTGGCCCTAGCCCTTTGGAAAAGTTTGTTACTTATGCCCAAGGAAGAAGCCAGTCCTTGCCAGCAGAAAATGTCAGTTATTACGCAAATAGATGGAGCCACTTAGATGGGGATTGGTCAGTTATTATGCAAAAAGGGTAAGTAACATTGCTCAACAGGATTGAGCAACTTGCCTATATAAGCAGCCATCCTACAGAGGCTCAGGGGGGGACCTCACTATTATCAAGAAAAAGAGCCTGCTACAGGGGAAGTCAGCAAAACTGGACTAAACCAAAGCTAAGAATTTTCCTGAATACAACCAAACACTTCAAGGGACACAGTAGCACAGGCGGGGCTCTGGGGACCATAGTTTCAGGGGACATCTAGGTCAACTGGCATAATTAAGTATATTAAGAAAATGTTCTGCATCCCACTTTGGTAAGTGGCATCCAGGGTCTTAAAAGCTAGCAAGCGGCCATCTAAGATTCATCAATTGGTTCCAACCCACCTGGAGCAAAGGAGAATGAAGAACACCAAAGACACAAGGAAAGTATTAGCCCAAGAGACAGAAAGGACCACATAAACCAGAGACTCCATCAGCCTGACCCCAGAAGAACTAGATGGTGCCCGGCTACCACCAAGGACCACCCTGACAGGGAACATAACAGAGAGTCCCTGACAGAGCAGGAGAAAAGTAGGCTGCAGAACTCAAATTCTAGTAAAAGGACCAGACTTAATGGTTTGACTGAGACTGGAGAGACCCCGGAAGACATGGCCCCCAGACTCTCTGTTAGCCCAAAACTAAAACCATTCCCGAGGCCAACTCTTCAAAGATTAGATTGGACCATGAGACATAAAATGATACTCATGAAGAGTGTGCTTCTTAGCTCCAGTAGATACACGAGACTAAATGGGAAGCTCCTGTCTGGAAGTGAGATGAAAAGGCAGAGAGGGACAGGAGCTGGTTGAATGGACATGGGAAATCTAGGGTGGAGAGGAGGAGTGTGCTGTCACAGTACAGGGAGAGCAACTAGGGTCACGTAACAATGTATGTATAAATTTTTGTATGAGAGACTAACTTGAATTGTAAACTTTCACTTAAAAAACAACAATAAAAAAAGAAAGAAAAAGAGCCTGGAGCAGAGCACATCCTTGGGACCCGAGGTCCCTGCACTGAGCCTCCTAGACCCAGGAGTCAGAGAGAACTGTAACACTGAAGCAGCGGTAGCAGAACAAGGAAACCAGTGCAAGATGGCATGGTTGCCTTCCTGGCCCACGGAGCAAGGTGGCTACAGTGGGCTTGCTAACCTACAGAGCAAAAGAGCTGAAGCCCTTCAGGTTAAGAGGTGTGCTAGTGAAAAGAGAGAAATAGAAAAAGGGAGGGAGTGCTGTTGTATATTAAAGAAGGGAGGGATGTGCTCTTCACTTTGGAGAAGCGTTCCAGACCCTGCCTGTGTGCTTCCTCACACTGATCCTGTTCCTGTTATTTCTAAGTTAATCCTGATCCCGTGTTACTTCCCTAATAAACCATATAACTTTGAGTATGGTCTGTGAGTTCTGCAACAAATTATCAAACCCAGCAGAGAAGTAGAGGGTGCCATGGGGAGGACAGGTGATGTCAGAATTGGTAAAAAGGTTGGAATCGAGGTATGTTTGACCTCTACCTCATAGGAATCAGCTTTGGGCTGATGTCGATTCTCATTCTCCCTGAAGTCAGACTAGGTCTGATACTGCTGCTACCATATTGTAAATGACTATAGTTACTATTATGTCATGTCCCAACAGAGACCTTTCTGCCCATCCTAAAAGACAATAGAGTTACAATTACTAATTATACCAGAAAATTGCTAATAATTATACAGAAACATGTAAGATGGCTCTAGGAACATCTCTATATAAAATACAAAGGAATTTTAACAAATGGCCAAAATAAAAATAAACTATACCTAAAAAACAGGAAAATATCATATCAATTAATCACTTAGATGAAATGATAACATGATAACAAAAATACTATCTGTATACTAGGTATATTTTAATTAAACTTTTCATTGAGTTGTCAATGCAACATTTAACTGACATAAAAGAATTTTTTAAATTATGTTATAAAGCGTATGCTTATGGTGACACAAATATTTTGTTTCCATCTGTTGGGAAATACCAGCATTACCCTAAGGTCAATACAGGTTTTCTTTTTTTTAATAATATTTTATTATGTTCTCAGTGAAGGTTTACACAGCACTTTAGATTCCCATTCAACAATTTCTACACAAATTGTTGAGTGACGTTGGTTACATTCTTCACAATGTGTGAACACTTTCAGTATTTCCATTCTGGTTGTTCTGTTTCCATTAATCTAGTTTCCCTGCCTCCCTTACATTCTCTTTGTTTTAAAGTAATTGTTAACCATTTGGCCTCATATAGATGATTTTTTAAAGGAGCACAGTACTCAAGGGTAATATTCCTTATTTTGTAAGCCAATCTGTTATTTAGCTAAAAGGTGACCTCAGGGGCTAGTTTTGGTTCAAGGTTCAAAGAGCATCTCAGGGCAAAAGTCTCAGGGAATCCTCCACTCTCAACTGGTCCAGTAAGTCTGGTGTGTGTTGTGTGTGTGTGTGTGTGTTTTAGGAATCTGAGGTTCTGTTCCATATTTTCATCCCATTCTATCAGGGTCTATCTACTGTGCCCCAATCAGATGGTCGGTAGTGGTAGCTGGGCACCATCTAGTTCTTCTGAGGTCAATACAAATTTTAATGCTGGCAAAGCAGGAATTTCTTAAGATGTGAAAACACATCTTTAATGATTATACATTATTTTCATGAAATTTCAGAAACTTAATACTTTTTACATTTTGTTACAGAATGTAACAAACCAAATTCATTTTTATATCCTCCAAGAATCATATTTTGCTCCCAAATATATCATAATTAAAAGAATGTTTCCAAGTAGCAATAATTTAAATAAAGCCTTAAAAGGTTGCAAATATTTTATCAATGCTTTGGCATATTTTAACTAAACTTTTTGTAATAATCCATAGATGCTCATAGTATGAAACCATACAAATTTCATATCATATACATCAATAAATTTATGATTGTTCTGCAAATATGCAGATATGGATAATTCAGGACTTGACCAAAGTTACACCATTATGCAGAAATATTTAAACAACAAGTAATAAAACTTAAATTTAGTACATCCCATAATCTGATTTGGATTATTATGCATTTTGGAAATCATAACACATCCTGCCAATTTACCAACAAACTCATACTCTTAGGAATAAAAAGTTTTAAGAAATGCCTTTGTAGCTACAACCAAAATACAGGCATACCTTTAGTAACTGATGACACATTACAGTCTTCTGGTGGAAGACCTGTCCCACCATCCTTCCAGTATGGATTCAATTCTCTTTCCAACAGTCTGGACTATAAGAAAACATTATCAAAGGTCAGAATTTAAAAATAACCCCACCACAAAAAAATTAAAAATAATAAAAAATTCAAGACCCACTTAACAGTTGTGATCTTGGACAAATCATTTAAAACACCCTTAAGACTCCGGCTCTTCTATAACTTGGAAGAAATAATGCCAAAATTCATTCACTCAATGCTTTTATTGAATGCCTACCATGCCTCAGCTCTGTGCTAGATGTAGGCAATACAACAGTCAATACACCTGGCTCAACCTTCTAGCTTATGATCTAGGTGAGGAATACAGACAATAACTAACTAATAAGTGCTTTGAAGATGGGAGACAAGAGTGTTAAAGCTGCACACAGATTTCAAAACCCACTCACAGTGAAGGACTTTAGATAAGCACTAAGGGTTGACAGCTAATAGCACAATGCATGCCCTATGGAGGCAAGAGGACACAGACACAGCCTCGAATGCTGGCTTTCAAATTTTTTATTGACCATGACTCACAGTGAGAAAGAGAGAAAATGTTAACCAAAACAAAGTTTTAGGACACAGAATGTATCTTTATTACATGTAATACACACTGCATTTTATATTTTTTAAATACTGATTGCAACGAATTAATTTTATAACTCATACTTTGAAAAACACTAGCCTAGAAGACCAAAGTAATGTTATCTCTAATATCAAGAAGAGGCAGAAAATCAACATGCTTCATAACAAAGCTTCAGCTAAGGGTCATCATTTTAGACTTCTGATTACTTTCATTTTATCCTCACTGCTATTACAAGAATTAACATTTGGTTTTAAGGGAAGGGCTAATTTTTTCTCAAAAAGAAACCAAATGTTTATCATTTCTTAAGAATACAATGATGTACAAAGAACACCACACCTATACTGACGTGCAGATATTTGAAAACTGCCTAATCTCACTAATCTAAATGATTTACTCCTTTACACAACAATCCGAATTCTTACCTAAGCAAAATCACAAATTATTACAGGTTATCAAACTTCAGAACTAAATCGAAGGATTTACAGAGCACTATGCTAAACTGGGGTTAATGGGGAAACAAATAATAATTCTGCAATTTCAAATATACAAAGTCAAAAAGCACCTGCTATGTGCAGAGTTCTATACCAGCTGCTAAGGAAGATAAAAACATGAACAAAACATAGTATCTCAGAAAGTTTATAATCTTATAAAGGAGATAAGACTAATATAGTAGTTTACAGAAAACTACAACTACTATAGTAACGGAACAAATAAAGTTATATGGAACATAAAGGACAATGAAATTTATTTCAGTCAAAGGAAATAGGAAGAGTTTCAGAGTATATACGAAATAGACCTTGAAGGAGAAACAGGACGCAGACATATGGAGATGAAGGGAATTCAGTCAGAAAGAAAAAGATGGAAAAAAAATTTCACAGGCAGGAGTTCACAAAGAAATATTAGGGAAAGTGACTAAACTAGTTTGGGTGATACAAATGGTCTAAGAGAAAGAAATTTGCCTTAAACACATATCTAATCGGTTTGGACTCTATTTTGGAGGCAGCTGTTGGGGTCTCTAAAGGAGAATAATAAATATAGCACCCTTCTTTTCAGTCCAGGTCCTGAACAAGTTGAGAAATAAAACAAAAACATAGGAGACAGAAGACAAAGAACTAAATTGGAAGAGAAGCTTTCAGTGAGAGCCAAATGAGCCATTAACTGACCCCCACAATGAGCAGACTTTCCCACTTGAAGAAAGCACTGTGCCAACACCCACTACTACCCCATTCCCTACCGGATCTCTACAACCACCTGTTCCAAAAAGCAAGAAAGGCTGGGCTAGGCCAAGCGTGCCCATTCAGTTTATTCTTCACAACTTTATCAACAGAAAATTTACTCTATATCCTCAGGGACAGAATGAGAAAAGAAGGTGGCATGAAATATCACTAGTGGAGCTTCCTCTACCAGGAAGGAGTATACTTGAATCATTGAAGGCTTCTAATCAGAATAACACCATGATCAAAGATGTACTTTGAAAAAATTAATCCGACACCAGCTGTGGGATGCTGAAAAACAAACTAAGATGGTATTGTAATTGCCCAGGCAAGAATAAATAAGGGCCTGAACCATGTGTCTAACCATAAATGTCTCTTATTCCTAGATGCTGTCCTCAGTTCATTACACATATGAACTTAGCTCCAGTGTACGGATCAGCTAAACACGGCACAGAGAGGTTAAGTAACTTTCCCAAGGACACACAGCTAATAAGTGGTGTAACTACAGCAGTAGCAGTAAGAATGAGAAAGATAATACAAATGCAAAAGATTCAAAAATTGTGTAAGTAAATGAGCATAAGATCAATACATGCCAACTTAATTCAATCAGAGTTTATGTAAGATTTTATAAACAAAGATTTAAAAAATGATACTGATTAGAAAGCCTAGAATTCAAAACTGGAAAGTTGGTAAGATATACAAGACAAAATTATTACAGTTTCTTAGGAAAAGTGAACGTAGTATTATATAATGGTATTTCTAAGAAAACTGATCACTAGTTCAATCTATTAAAGATAATTAGCAGCTTATGGGGTCTCTAAAGGAGAATAATAAATATAGCACCCTTCTTTTCAGTCCAGGGGTCAAATGTTCTGCCATTTGATATGGAGAAGAGGTCAGAATATGAACAAAACATAAAACCACAATCCACGGTTACCCTAGCACGCCAGACCTTCAACACCCACAAAGAGTAGAGCATGACCTCAGAAATAAGCATATGATGGCACTGAGTAAAAATCAACTCCCAGACTTCACACAGTTTCTCTTTTTTTGATCCACTATCCACTAGCTATTCCCCTGTTGCTAGGTGTACTTTTCCTCTCCCCTGTTAATACAATGAATTTCAACTCCTTCAGGTCTAACTCAGAGACACAGGTATTTTACAGAACTTAAGCCCTGGCCTCCAATGTTCCATATGAATAGTTGCTTAATTATAAGTCAATACAATTTACCACACTTACATTTTCAGCATTAAAATCAGACTGGGTAAACACACACATACACACACACACAATGGATAACAACACTGGCTCTGGGAGTCTTATGATCACTCTTTTATATTTTCCATTTATTTGTCCCTTTATGCTGCATTCAGAGGCCTGGTGGTGCAGTGGTTAAGAGTAATGGCTGCTAACCAAAAGGTCGGCAGCTCAAATCCACCAGCTGCTCCTTGGAAGGCCTATGGGGCAGTTCTACTCTGTCCTATAGGGTCACTATGAGTTGGAATCAACACAGTGGCAACAAGTTTTTTTTTTTTTTTTTTTTGGTTTATGCTGCATCAGGGTAAATTCATAAAGATTATCTTCTTGTTCACTAACTCTCTAGCTATGTTCAATCTGCTGTTTAACTCATCTACCGAGTTTCTAATTTTGTTATATTTTTCATTTCTAAAAGTTCTAGTTGGCTGTTTTTCAAATTTGCCTTCTTAATAAGCTTTTATCCCTTACTTATTTTTTCTATACTTACTGTTACTTTATAAAGCTATTAAATATTCCAGCAGATACAGGTTTTGTAGGTCTGATGCTGCTTATTATTTCACATGACTCTCATTCATGGGCTATCCTTCTACTTTCATGTATTTTAATGACTTTTAGATTGTGACTTCATATTCCCTAGAACTTTATTTCTGGGAAACAATTTGAGGCTGACAGTACGATCCTCAAAAAAGGACTGGTGGTTACTTCTACCAAGCACTTCAAGGCACTACCAATTGAGGAATGTTGTTGCTGTATGCCGTCAAGTCGATTCTGATTCACAGAGAACCTACATGACAGAGCAGAATTGCCCCGTAGGGTTTCCTAGGCTGTAATCTTTATGGGAGTAGATCACCAGGTCTTTTCTCCTACAGAGCGGCTGGTGAGTTTGAACTGCCAACCTTTTGGTTAGCAGTTGAGTGCTTAATCATTGTGCCACCAGAGCTCCTTAACTCAGGAATACTTTAAAATAAATTCTCACCTTGAAGATTTTCAAACCACACAAGTAGCATAAATTCAAACCATAAACCTCTATGAATCCAAGCTATAAGCCACAACAGGGCCAGCCTGGTTACATATTCCCTGGGAAGATATCCCGCCCCCTACACCATATAAGATGCCTGATAAGACAGGCAAGTTTTCTTGCCTTTCAACTGGGTTTTTTCCAACTTCTTCTTTTCATTGAGGATACACCCCTCCAGGGTCCCAGATTTATAGATGTTCAACAATCAAACTTACCCATCTCACGCAAGCTCTTGAACTTATCTCCTATCCTCAAGCATTTATTAAAACTGAAGTTCTACACACCAGTACAGGGCAAAGACAAGAAGGCAAGAGAGAAGAGGAAAGCTGGATGAACGAAAATGGGGAACTCAAGGTCGAGAAGGGGGAGGGTTGACATGTCGCCGGACTGGCAAGCAATATCACAAAACAATATGGGTTTTGTTTACTGAGAAACTAATTTGTTCTGAAAACATTCTTCTAAAGCACAATAAAAAAATAAAAATTGAAGTTCTAGATTACTAGGACTGGGTGCTGTCCCAGAAAGCCATCAGTTTCTATGCTTCCTTATAACTTACTAGGATTCATGTTTTTCCCTCATTTTTGGCTCTCTAAAAATTTCCCATTTTTTTTCTTGCCAGCACAGTGACAGTAATAAAATATAAAACAAGTAGATATACTTTAAGAAGCCCTGGTGGTGCAACAGTTAAGCACTCGGCTGCTAATCAAAAGGTTGATGGTTCAAACCCCTCAGCAGCTCCATGGGAGAAAAAGCTGGTGGATCCACTCCCGTAAAGATTATAACCTAGAAAACTACTATGGGCTAGTGCTACTCTATCACATGGGGCTGCTATGAGTTGAAATCAACTCGACGGCACCTAACAACCACAAGGTTTATTTTATACTTTATCCAGAACTTTCAGATGTCCTGAAATGGAATCATTTTTTCAGGGTATGTAATTCATCATGTTAACAGAAATAGAAGTTGAGAGGATTCACTTCTAATTCAATGGTTTTTACTTAAACTCAATATTCATTCAATCACCCTAGATTAAAATATTCTAGATTTATAAATCTTGGTATACTTTTAAACTGACTTACCACAGGAAACTTATTTTAAAAGAACTTAAATTTCATAGTTGTTCTCATTAATTTTATTAACACAAATAAAAAACGTTTTACAAATAAAACTAGGATTGTCTAAATGTTCTTACCAGCTTCTTTAAGAGAAAATTACAAAGTTAAAGCATTTTAAACATTCTCTTACCTGCTCAACTGCTTGGGCTTTCTCCTGCTCTATTTTCCTTATAGTTTCTTTTTCAGCTTTGAGTGATGATAATGATACAGTTTTAACAGACATAAAGTCAACAGTCATCCACTCATCCCTCTGTTAAAAAAAAGGAAGTCATTTCAATCTAAATTGATTAGAACTTAACAATAAACACTTAATAAACCTGGATACAAAACCTACGTGGCTATATAACTTTAAGCAAGTTTCTTAATCTCTCTAAGCCTCAGTCTCCTCCTCCATAAAATGGGATAAAAATCCTACCTTTTTGTCAATAGCACAGAAGGGTACAAAGAGTGAACCCTAATGTGAGCCATGGATTTTAGTTAATAATGACGTATCAATATTGGTTCATCAATTGTAACATATGTACCACACTAATTCAAGATGTTAATAATAGGTGAAAGTAGGGGGTATATGGGAACTCACTATACTTTCTGCTCAGTTTTTCTAAAAATCTAAACACACTCTAAAAATTAAAGTCCATTAATTTAAAAAAAAAAAATCTTATCTTTTTTTCAGAACTGTTGTAAGGAATAAATAAGATATCAGATATAAGGCACAGTACCTGGCACTACACAAGCACTCAAACATTAGTCCTTGTTCACCTTCTTCCTTCATCTGTGACTAACAGTAGATAAGTTACATTCTTCCCTGGACATACAAACGATAACCTCGAATATGTGAACTATTTAACTGAAAGAGTTGCTAAGAAAATTATGGCATGCGGTAAAGGAAAAAAAAAACTGTGATTGAACTCTACTGACTATAGGAAGGTCAGACAGTGGTAACAGTACAAAGTACAGTACATAAGGGAAAGTGCCACTTCTCTATCAACACCAGAGGCAGAAAACCCTCAAATGGAACAGAATAGAGATGAGCACTCACTCTGTCACAGCAGGAAGAGAAGCAGCATTTAAAGGCTCAGCAAACGGCATTATTGCCACAAATTACTCAAAAAAGTGCATTATTTTCAAGCTAGCTTTTCTCCTGAAGAAATTATAATCATCTTTCATTTTAACATTCATCTACTCCTTAAAGTTAACACTTCTTTGTTTAGAATTAGGTGGCCTACCTGAATAACCTCACTGTCTTCTTCTTTTCTTGACTTTTCATCTTTCACTTTCCAAGCCTTTTCTTTGCTCGGAGTCTGAGATGGAACAGCTTCAACCCATTCATCTTCAGAACTCTAGGAATATTTAGCATACAAGTGAAATTCTTAAATTTACATACTTTGATATAAAAATTCTGCGCTATTGTTCAATGACAGAAATTCAGCTGTAAAATTTCCTAGAGAAAATTCTTACACTCTATTTCCCCTTTAAAAAAATGATATTGAAAATCTAAAGGACATCCTTTGAGTTAAGCCCACAAAACACCAACCAAATTAGTTCTGTTTTCTTAGTAGTTTATTATCAAACCAAGGGAAAGCGAAACAACAAAAATTAGAGCTTCCAACACATCTCTGCTCAAGCAGAACAGGAAAAACACATCTAAGTAAATGAATTTATTGTTTCCCCTCAAGTTTCAAATTCTGAAACTTCTTTGGATCTAAAAATACACAGATCTCAAGTGACAAGGCACTTTCTGTGTTTAAATGCAAGATTATTAAATCATTCAAGAAGTGTTTAGTCAATATCCCCTATATGTTCAGCCTTATGCCAGGTTTTGCCTTCGCTTTCAACAAATATATCAATCAACTCTTCTATACACTTTCACATATACTATCACACTGACTCCTTAAAAACAACCTTGTAAAGTTTTATTTTGGTTTTACATATAAGGAAAGTGCCCCGAAGTTAAGTAATTTGCCCAAGGTTACATGGTATCCAAGTGGGAGAACCAGGACACAAATTTAGATCTGGCTCTAAAATCTATTGTTTTGGAGCTGTAGAACTTAAGCATAGAAAACAACTTGTTAGCATACAGTTGAGAAACTTTGAAGCCAAGGGAGGAAAAAGTAGTGAACAGCAGGGTTCACATCAGAACGTGAGTTTCCTGAATGAGGCCAGTATTCTTCCATTCCACCGAGTTCTTGAAAATTACCTAAAGCTTTTCTTTGACTAGAGAACACAAATATGTCTATTGAAAGGTATTAACCACATGGAATAAATAGCCTTGATGTGGATTTATAGAAACCTGAGAACAAGTTATTTATATTTATAGTTACAATTTTTAAAAAATAATCACTATAAATGTATTGCTGGTCTACTCATGTTTATACTATCACAGCAATTGAGAGAGACTAAGTTCCTACTTAATTCGACCGTGTGGATTGTAACAGATTATGGATAACATTGTGAAGAATGAGAATTCCAGAACACTTAATTGTGCTCATGAGGAATTTGTACACAGACCTAGAGGCAGTTGTTCGAACAGAACAAGGGGATACTGTGGGGCTTAAAATCAGGAAAGGTGTGCATCAGGGCTGTATCCTTTCAGTGTACTTATTCAATCTGCATTCTGACCAAATAATATGAGAAGCTGGACTGCGTGAAGAAAAACGCGGTATCAGGACTGGAGGAAGACTCATTAACAACCTGCAGTATGCAGATGACACAACCTTACTTGCTGAAAGTGAAAAGGAATTCAAGCACTTATTGGTAAAGATCAAAGACTATAGCCTTCAGTACGGATTACACCTCAACATAAAGAAAACAAAAATCCTCACAATTGGACCAATAAGCAACATCATGATAAATGGAGAAAAGACTGACATTGTCAAGGATTTCATTTTACTTGTATCTACAATCAATGCCCGTGGAAGCAGCAGTCAAGAAATCAAAAGATGCATTGCATGGGGCAAATCTGCTGAAAAGACCTTCTTAAAGAGTTAAAAAGGCAAGAAATCACTGTGAGGACAAGGGTGCGCCCAACCCAAGCCATGGTATTTTCAATTGCCTCATATGGATGTGAAAGCTGGACAATGCATAAGGAAGACCAAAGAAGAATCGATGCCTCTGAATTATGGCAATGGCAAAATCACTGAATATACTGTGGACTGCCAGAAGAACAAACAAATCTGTCTTGGAAGAAGTACAGCCTGAATGCTCCTTAGAAGGAAGGATGACGAAACTTCGTCTTGCTTTCTTTGGACATGCTATCAGGAAGGACCAGTCCCTGGAGAAGGTTAACATGCTTGATAAAGCAGAGGCTCAGAGCAAGAGAAGCGATGAGATGGACTGACACAGTGGCAGCAACAATGGGATTAAGCGTAGCATTGATTGTGAGGATGGCACAGCACCAGGCAGTATTTCGTTCTATTGTACGTAGGGCTGCTATGAGTAGCAGCCAACTTGATGGCACCTAACAACAACAACAAGTTCCTACTGTTTGGTCATATTCACTAAAAAGGAAGTTTATAATCTAAAAAATTAGCACTTTTCTTTGGTGGAGTGCTTGTTTGCTAAGATCAAACTACCAAAAAAAAAAAAAAAAAAGTGTTTCTCAGGTTTCTGTCTTAGACCTTCTTCTAAAATTACAGATTTTCTCTATCCTACCAGATATTGACCAACCAGTTAAAATTCACTAACTAGAGCAACAGCTGTAACCAGTTTCCAAACCTAATAAATCCAAACGTCACCATCTACAATTTCCGTTAAGCTAAACACTCAGCCCCAACTAGAATTCCTCTTGCTGGTCCTTGGTCAGTTCTTTCCACCATTCCCTTCACTAACTCTCTTCCTTTGAATTATTTATCAGTTTTACATTTATTTGTGACTATCTGATTAATGTCTTACTCTCCCACTAGCAGCAAATTCCATTAGTCAGGAGCCACATCTGCTTTTGCCTACTTTGTATCCCCCAGTACCCATCCTAGTACCTTGGCAGACACTAAGTGATCAATATCTTCTTTAACATCCTCCTCAAAGTTTTTACAAATTCCTACTCCCCTTACTCTCAGAAAATTATCTCTCCTCTTACCTCATCAAGAAAAATAAGGCCAATTTAGCTTCCTATCTAACCTCCTATAAACTTATTTATATCTGTGCCTATTCTTATCTCCTGTTAACTCTTCCTATTCAAGACAGATCTTCCTCCAATGATCTTGATCCTTATGATTCTTGTTGCTCCACCAATTATCTCTTTCTCTTATAGCTTCAAAACCATAGCTTCTATTGGCCTAGAAATATGCTCAAGTATTCCCCATTCTTTTTTTTTTTTTTTGGATTTGATAGTAACGGGGACCTTTCTTGATTTTGTGTCTTCCTCTAACAACAATTTATCTTCCATCTTCCATTTGAAACCAAACGTCTTGGGAGTAGTCTAGATCCATTGCCTTCACACCCTCACTTTCATACATCTCTCAAAACTCTACAATATGGCTCCTGTTCCCATTAATCTACTGAAACTCCTTTAAAGGTCAAACTGCCAAATTCAACAATGATTTTTCAGTCTTTAATCTCACTAGACCTCTCTACTGAATATAACTCTGTTGAACACTCACTTTCCTGACTTCTATGACACTTACTGTCCTAGGAAACTTTTGTAAGCTTATAGTAAACCCACCTCTTTTTTGCATAAGCCAATTTAAGTTCAGTTTCTGTTACCTGCAACCAAGAGTCCCAACTAATACTTATCCCCTCCTCTCCATCCTAAAACCAGCAGCCCAAGATCACATCTTTTTACCTCCCGCCTAGACAACTGGAATAGCCAAATTAGTCTCCTACACTCCAATCTTCTCTTCTTTCTCCAAGCCTCACCCCAAATACATTTAGAATAATATAAAGGGCATATCTGACCACAGTACTCCTCTTACTAAAATGATTATATGGTTCCCTGTCACTGTCACAAAGACTGTTAGCTGCCCAAGAACCATGCTCCTCTTCTTTCCTACCAATAAACCGAACTGTATTTGGGAAAGCAACGTCCCTCCCTGGCTAGAAAGTAAAGCCTTATGATGAACTGTCCTGGGAAATGTAAATGAAAGTGTTACATAGGACTTTCTGGAAGTCAATAAGAGAGGACATCCTCTCTTTCCTACTATCTGGACTTAAGAGGCAATGTTGTAAAAATGACAGAGGAGCAAGACAGTAGAAACCTTGGTCCCAGACAACCACACTAGCCCTAGAGTACCCATCTGATCTCCTTTATACGAGAGAAAAATAAACTTCTATCTTGTTTAACTAATGGCTACTTTGACATTTTCTGATAAATGCAGTTGAACCTAATTAGATGATACAATCTCTACTGAACGAAGTCAAAGCTCTTGGTTTACCAGGTCCTACCAAACCTTAACAGTTTCATCTCCATTCACTCCCATTTCGTGATCTAGTGTTATCCAAACTGCTTATCATTATATTTTACATACACACATCTCTCTCATACATCATGCTATCTCATTTTTCCATGACTCTTTGCTCTTGCAATTCTTTGTACATGGAATGCCAAGCCCACTTTTCTTTGCCCACCTAATTCTTACTCATCCTTCAAGTCTCAACACAAGCATCATTTTCTCAATAAGTCTGTAGATGGAATCCTCCCTCACCTCACCAATACCCTGTCCTGGCATGGCATCTTGAGATTATATATTGAAATTATGTACCTATTTATCCAATTAGACAAAGAGTTCCTAAAAGTTTTTTTTTTTTTTTTAAGTTTTTATATTTTTATATTCCCCATGCCTAAAACAGTGCCTGGCAAAAAGTAAGCATTCAATAAATGTGTGATGAAATTAACTGAATCCCCTATTTCTAACCTTACAATAGGTCTAGTTAGAGACTTCAAGCAGCAGGCTATATTCAAGCAATAAATGCCAGGCACTAAATGAAAGCACCATCTGTGATACTGTTACTATTGTCGGTTTACTAAAATTTACAGAACAATGATGCCTAGGCCATTCTATATAACCCTCTTTCCTCCCATTCCCTTTCTACTGATTTTATTGCTCATTTTCACCAGTATGCACTCACCTCACCAATTAAGCACAACAGACATTCCTCCTTCCCCATGCTATGACCCCAGTTATCTTGCTGATTATAGTTTCAGTCCTCTATTTTACACTGAAGAACTTACAAACCGTCAAGATTAATGTGTCTCCTGACTCCACCTAGCTTCCAGGACTCTCCTTCTCACATGCAGCCTTCATGATTAACCACACCTCCACCCCTACCTAGCAAAGTCTAGAAGGTGCTAAGACAGAAAAGTGCTACTATTAAAAAAAAAAAAAAAAACAAGCGAATTCGAGTA